GGCAGCCCAGGCTGAGCACAAAAAAAGCTGGGTTGGATTTTCTGGCTGGTCCTCATGTTAATGATGCAATAATTTAACAATTCAGAAGTAAGCTTCCAGAAGGTCTTTGAATGTCCATGCCTAGCCCAACAGGAGTGAAAATTAAGTTGCTCAAGAGAATTTTATCAAAAAAGGGTAAATGCTCATTATTTTCTCATCTTGCATGTCATCTAGAAAACTATCATCTATCTGTATTTACCGAGCCCAATCTCACCCTTTTAAGACCCTTCTAATCTTATTGCAGGGGTAAAGCATAAAGATCAAGGAGGTAAATGTACTTTATTCAAGAGATAAAGATCACTTAACCGAGAGGGCTTCTGTTATAACAGAATTCAAATGGAAATGTGGACAATTTTTATTCTCAGGGAATCTCACCCTAGTAAGGGATATAAATGCATGAGAAATTAAAGTATCAGACAAAATATGAGAAGCCATTGAGTCATAACTCCTGGGAACTTGCCAGGTATCACCTGAAAACTGCTGAACAGAGGGCAAGGGGAGGCCAAAGGAAAAGGCAGGCCACTCCAGAGGGGTCAGCGGCCACTTTAATGCTAAACAGCTGCTTCTGAGACATTGCCTGAGAGTTTCTGTTCCCCATCTTGCCCCATAACTGTCTTCAGTCACATCTGCTGTCCACAGTCTCACCAACACATAATATGCCACATTTTCTAAGGCTCCATCTTTGAAGTGGCTTCTGGAACAGGTAAAAGCTAAGGGCACACACTTTCCAAGGGGCAAAGCTGTGATGCCCACCAGGGAGCTGGGGGGCAGCCTTAATGGCCCAGGTCTCACTGTTTCAAACATCCTGTCACCTTCTCTCGATTGCCATCCCCCAAGTGCCATGAGAAAGGCTCAAAGGCACTATCAGGATGCAGAGAAAGGTAGAAACACATCGAGTTAGAAAACTGGGTAAGGAGGCTGCTTACCTCTTTTATACCCATTCTCTATAGGGCGTTGAGAATATAGACGTGAACATGAACCATACCTCCCAGTTTAGCACTCAGAGCTAAGTACTTTGCCTGGAGTATGCGAGCCAAGGGCAGTTTCAGAAAGTACCAGATGCCATCAGTTCCTTATTTGGAATCCACTTCACGTTGGAAACCCAGACCCCAGCCTGGCAAGGAGCTTTGAGGCTTCTTGTACTATGAATAGCAGCTGGAGTTTAGAGGGCTCTGTAGGACCTTCAGGTTGCTCCTGCCCCTACTGTGTTTGCATAATGTCCTGAGAAAGCGGCCTAAACATGGAAACTAATTTAATGAGTATTTTTAAATTCGGAGGCAAACAGTCCAAGAGCATGCTGATTTTAGAATTTACGTTTTTTGGAGTAAGAAGACCTGTGTATTCATGAACCTTGCATCCTCCATAGTGTGTGCTGGGAAGCAAGCTTGCTTTGCTGACCTTGGACTTGAAAATATCTCACAGGGTTTGGTAAGGAGTAAATGAAGTATCTAAAGTAATTGGACAGTGTTTGGGTACCATGAGCTGTCTTATGATGGCTGCTGTTAGGCTGAGACCCGAGGGTTTCCTCCACAAACAGCACTGCAGCCTTGCTTTAAAGATTCTCTCAGAATCTATCTGAGCTCCCAAAATTTACAGTTTAGAAACCTTGGGAGTCATTCATGTAGCTCTGTGTAAGCATGCATACCAGTGTTGCCATACCACTGAGACACAAGACCAGAAGGCTCTAGTCTATGCTGCCAGAGTCCTCACGTAGACTCTGGCCTTACAACACTTGACCTAGATGCCAACTGGTGCCCCCTTTTCTCACATGCCACCCCCCCAATCTTCTGCTTATGTGTAGGCCTCCTCTCTATTCCAAGTCTGTCTCACTGTCCTCTCTGTTCCATCTGATTTCCCTCATGCTCACCTCTCTCCCACTACTCAAGCAGCAACTGGGAAGGACAAATCCTTCGGTGGTTGATAGAAGGGAGGTGTTGCTGGCCTCTTCGGTCCCTCTGTCCTGAACAAATTAAAAATGAGGAAGACACTGAACACAGAACCTGGACCCACAGTCCAGAGCGTGACGGGGTTTCCCGGGTGGTGGTGATGGGCCTTCCTGGGCCACAGACAGGGATCCCAGCCAGCCCAGCTGGGGTGCCAGTAATGAAGTGGAGCTGGCAGAAAACAAGTTTAGATTTAAGGTGGAATCTGCAAGAATGGTGGGAAAAAAACAAAGGGGAAGAGCAAGACTCACTCCAGAAACTGAAAGTTGTACCAGAAAGGAACATTAATTCTGCTTCACATGTAGGTTAGATTTGAATCATGTTTACATGCTCATGACAACAGAAACTCGACATTGCTGTCACCAAGACGATGGTATAATTAAAAGGAGGCCTGTGTTCATGTGGCAGGCCAAGGGAGTGAGAATTTAATCTTTTCCTTGTGGAAAGTCGGTTGCTAATGTTCAAAACTGAAAAAGGAAGGGATAACAAACACGCATGTTTGATACGTGGTGGTCAGTGCCACGACGCCACGCAGCCTTTGAGGAGACAAGAGGCTGCTGCCTTTGGACCTGGCCTTTAGGCCCATGTGACTTTTTAACTGCATGCAAGTTTTGATTTCATTTTTTCCTCCCCTCCCTCAATTCCCTGATTTAATGTTTTAAATGAAAAGGCACCAAGACATAGCAACCTTGTCTTAAAAATGTATGAAAGGAGTAACGGGAAGGGCGAAATGTGGCTTACATTTTCTTTCTCTATAAGAACTACATGCACAGCGTAAAGGTCTGGCAGAGTATTAGCTCTGGCTACGTTTTTCCTTTTTTATACTATTCTGAATTTCTGGCAATGGGTATGCATTTCCTTGTAATCAGATAAAAAGTGACGCATAATACAGAAAAGGGAAACAATTAGAAATGTGAAAGAAAAATATGTACAAAGATATTCGTTACAGCTTGTTAAGAATCATAAGACATCAGAAAAACCGTAATAGTCAGGACATGGATAATAAATTATGGTGCGTATATCCCTCTGAAATAATTTGCAGGCTCCATTTTTTTTTTGTTTTTTTTTT